TATTAAAAAATAAAAAAAAATACTTATGCAAATCTTTAGAAACCTGATTTTATATTTACATTAGTTCCTTCAATAGTCACACTTTTTCTTATTTTTTTTGTGTGTTTGTTTTTTTTCTAAGTTATATATTAACAGTGCTTTTTTTTTCACAAGATTTCATAGTAACACCATTTAAATGAAGAAATCATATATTTTTATTTTAATTTATATTATTTATAGATTTTATAGGTTACAGAATAAGGACTTTTTTTAATTGAAATTTTTAAAGATTTCCTAAAGTAAATTAAGACATTTATTCTCTCTTTTTTTAATTAATTATAATATTTTTTTATTATATATATTTATTAAAAAATAAGTTTTTTTTATTTTTATATTATTCATATTTATAAACCTAAAAAATATATATATATATATATATATATTTTTAATTTAATAAGATATTGTAATAAGTTTTTATTTTCCAAATTTTTACTTTTTAAAATTATATTTTAATAATACTTAATATAAAATAAAAAAAATCAGTTTAATTATATATTAATATAAAAAATTAGCAAATAAATAAATAATAATTTTTTTATTAAATATTAAAAAAATATTTATATTTATATTTTTTTTTCATATATAATAAAAAAAACAAAAGAATCAATTTTAATAATAATATAAAACAAAAAAACTAATGGAAGAAGAAGAATAATAATAATAAACTAATAATATTATAAACATATTAAGCGATTATTAATATTATCAAGAATAAATTTATAAACAAAACTAAAATCTATACAAAACTATTCAAAATTAAATTAATGAAATGTTCAAAATTGCTAATGATAATGAAAAAAATCATTATCTTGGATAACTAGATATTATAAATACTGCTTTAGAATTTTTAAAAAATAAAAAAAAATAATTTAAATATCTTTAATTTAAAGAATTTATTGATTATTTATCTTCAAAAATTGATAATAAATTTAAATAATAAAATGAAGTAATTAATTTATAAGGAGCATATATCCCTTAAAATAAAAAAAGAGTTTAAGATTAACAAGATAGCGAATTCGAAAATATTATATATAAATAGGCTAAATATATGATTATGGAATGATAATATATAGTATTTATATATATATATATTTTAAAAATTTATAATTTTATTTTAAAAAAAAGAATAAAATAAAAGATTAATATAAATTAATTTTTTATATAATTAATATTTGTTAATTTTTATAAATTAGAAAATTACTTTTTAATAATATTTTTATTTATTTTTTAAATGTTATTCATATTTATTTTAATAAATTAAATTTATTTAATATAAATAAAAATATATATAAAAAATAACTATTATTATAGAAATAATTAAAAAAAAAATGAAAAATCAAAATAGTACTCAAAAGCAAAACATTGTTAATTTTACAAAAAAATATAAAAAAAAATTAAAATAAAAAAAAGAATACAGATACATAATAATAACATTCATAAACAAGTAGATAAATTAATCCTATGATGACTTCAAAAATAGCGAGAATATAGCACACTGGTAAATAATTTGATTATGATCGTTAAATGGAATAAGAAAAATTAGTATAATTAAAAAAAAATATATATATATATATATGAATATATATATATATATATATATATATTTATATATATATATATTTATATTTTTATTTAATTTTTTTTTTTTTTAGAATAAAATAAATTTAGACATAAAATATGTTTAATAATAATTATAATAAAAAAGACATGATATAATGCATATAAAACGTCTTTCAATTTAAGAGGCTAAAAATTTGGTATCTTCCTCATTTGAAAAAATTAATCAAAATAAAAAATAATTAATACAAGATGCTATGTTATTAAATCCATTAAGATTAGAAAATAATATAAAAGCAGTTCATTAAAAAATAGGCCATTTGTAGGTCTAATATAATAACGTTAATTCTTAAAATAATGATTATAAGTCTTTTATTGATAAATAAAGGCGTGAACTCTAATTATATAAATAAATAAAATCGACATTAATTAAGAAAGTTTAAGAAAATAATATAGAAATCAAATAAATGGAATCTGATGAAAAAGAAAAAGAAGCTAAAATTCATAAAGATTCTGAAATTGTTAAAATTTAAAGTATTGAATACTTTAAATAAAAATAAAAATATTAAAGAGATTTCCATAGTGTTTTTTAAGTTTTAGAAGAGGAAAATAGAGAAGAAAAAAAAAAAGACAAATTTGGTTTCAAAAATGAAAATGGAGAAAATATGATAATAGAATCTCCTGTATATATACTTTTTTTTTAATTTATATTTATATTTATATTTATATATATATATATATATATATATATATATATATATATATATATATATATATATATATATATATTAGTGGTCCAGTTAAATGTAAAAAATTTATACTATTCATGAAGACTTTACCAGTTCTATAAAAAACGGGGAAACGAGTATCAAAAACAATCAAAAAAAACAATAAAATAGGCTTGATATGTCCTCTAATTTAGAAGTTTTGAAAAAAGAAGTGGATTAACATGACGAGATATTCAAGAAATTAGTTGATTAGTGTTTACCAATTAATTAGAATAAAATATAGAGTATAAATATAGAAGATAAGGATTAAAAAAACTAAATAGAATAAGAATAAATGAAATAAATAATAGAAAAATTCGCCGATTACGAAGACAAAAAAAATAAACTTTATAAATATATCATTAATATGAGGGATGAACTAGAATAATTACAAAAATAACGAAAAAGCATAGACGAAGAAATCTTATATTATGAAAGACTACCTGAAATAATCTAGAAAGACCCTAAAGTGTAAAAAAATAACGAAACCATATAAAAAATAAGCCTAATAAAGAAAAAATAAGATGAATATAAGGAAAAATATGATAAATTAATGATTAATATTAATAAATTGAAAATTTAAATACCAGTAGTCTTTGAAAAAATAGGATGTAATTCAGAAGAATATATAAGGGAATTAGGCGAATAATATTCAGAATTTAAATATAAAGATATAGATGAAGGAAGTATTATTTAATTCCTAGCTATTATAGAAAAAAGAACTAATGATTTATTATCATTATAAAGTTAGACTTTTAATGTCAATTAAACAGGAAATAAATTAAACGTATGCTTATTTATATTACTTTTTATAAAAAACTCAATATACAAAAAAAAAAAAAAAAATTTTTTTTTTTTTTTTTGTAAATTGAGTTTTGAAATACATTATATAAAAATTAATATAACAAATTATACATATTTATATTATAAAGTAAAGAAATATATAAAAAAATATATATATAAGATATATAAATATAAATAAATATATATATATATATATATATATATATATTTATATTTAATATATATATTTTTATTATTTTTTTATTAATTTTTTTTTTTTATATTATTTAGGAATTAAAAAAATATAAACCAGAAGACTCTAATTGTTCTTTACTAAATTTCGAAGGAAAATAATTTGATTAAGATTTAAAAGGAGTTTGTATATTTTTTTTTTATATATATTGTATTATATTATATTTAAATATATATATATATTAATTAGTGGAAAATGTTGATTTTAAATTAAAAAATGAAAATGCTGATTTTAAAAATAAAATAGAAAACAAAATGGAGTTATAGGAATTTTATTAAAATTCGAAAAACATTGTTGATAATTTAAAAAATAGAAAAAAAAAAGAAAAAAAATGATAAATTTTATTATATTTTATTTATAAAAAATATTATCTAAAATTAATATTATAAAATTTTATTTAAAAATATAAAATATATATAAAAATATTTAATTTCTTTTTTTATTATTATTATTATAGAATATTGGTGATAAAACCTAAAGTAATTTGATAAAAAATACTATTTTATATTTATTTCAAATTATTTTAAATTTTTTCTAATTAATTAAAAAAAATTCAAAATTAAAAAAAAAAAAATTTTTTTTTTTTTTTTTTCAAAAATAAATATACTATATATTTGTTTTTTAATATATATTTTCTATTAATTTTTTATTTTAAAAAAAATCTCAAAAAACAACAAAAACCTAGCAAAAAATAACAAACAAGCAAAACAAAAACAATTATAAAAAAATGGACAATCAAGATTATTCTAATGCAATACCATTTATAATGTTCGACTAAACACATGGATTTATCTTAAACAAAGAGGCTGAAACATACCTTTCGTAATTAAATCCTGACAGAAAACTAGGAATAATATCAATAGTGGGTAAATATCGTACAGGAAAAAGTTTTTTTATAAACCGTGTTTTATTAGAAAGAAATAGTAATTAAAAAGGTTTTTAAGTAGGCCCGACTATAAATCCTTGCACAAAAGTAAAAAAATAATATATATATATATATATAAATATATATATATATATATATATATATATATATATATAAATTTATATATTTATTTTTTTATTTTTATTTGAATATCTATTTTTGTTTTTACTTATTTACATTTTGTTTATTAGGGTTTATGGATATGGAAAAAAGAACTAAAAAGCTTGGAAGACGATAATATGGATATATTATTAATAGATACTGAAGGTTTTGGAGGAATGGATGAGAATTTAAACCATGATTCTAGGATATTTTTATTTAGTTTATTATTATCGTCATATTTTATTTATAATTCTTAAGGCAGTATAGATGAGAATGCATTAAACAATTTATCTTTAATAATTAATTTAGCAAAAGATATTTAAATTAAATCTAAAAATAATACAAATGAAGACGCAGCAGATTATTTTCCTGCTTTTTTATGGGTTGTAAGAGATTTTGCACTATAAATTGTTGATTAATAAGGGAACAAATTATCTCAAAAAGATTATTTAGAAAAAGCATTAGAATTGTAAAAAGGAGTATCTGATGCTGTAGATTAAAAAAATAGAATTAGAAGATAAATGAAACATTATTTTAAGGACAGAGACTGTTAAACATTAGTTAGACCAGTAGAATCTGAAAAGGATTTATAAAAGTAAAATATAAATATAAATATATATATATATATATATTTATATATATATATATTTTTAAAAAAAAAGCCTAAATTAAATTACAAATGAAGAATTAAGACCTGAATTTTTAGATTAAATTAATTTTTTGCGAAAAAAAATTTTCAAAAAAATAAAACCAAAAATTCTAAATGGACAATCTTTAAACGGACAAATGCTAGTTTAAATTTGTAAATCCTATATAGATGCTATAAATAACGGAGGCTTACCTAATATAGAAAATGCATGGAATTATGTAAAAAAAATGAAGGATAAAAAGCTTTCGAAAAATCTATTAATACATTAGAACATATGATTATTACTGCATAATAAGAAGCTTATGATTCCAATTAAATAGAAGCTTTAAAAGAAAATGTGAAATTATTATTTTTGTATATATATTTAAATATATATATATATATATATATATATATATTATTATATTATTATATTTAATATATATACAAAATTATAATGTTTTTTATTTATCTTTTGTATAGATTAAATCGGAAATGAAAAAAGTACTTAAAAAAAATGCTTTGGGGACTGAGGAAGATTTATAAGAATATTATTAAGGAATTGAAGATTAATTATAATTGAAATTTCGGGAATTTAAAAAATAAAATAAAATTTAATTAAAGAAAAAATACTTTGATATGTGCAAAAATTAATTCTCTTAACTTGAAAGTAAACTTCTTAATGAAGAATATAATAATTTATATGAATTTTAATCCGATTTAAATAATTTCAAATAAGAATTTACAAATAAAATTCCAAAAAAAGACTCTGATTAAGCCGAAAAATACTTCGTTGAACTTTCAGAAAAACTCTATAAAATTGCTGCTGAAAAAGTGAATAAAAGACAAGAAAAAGAATAATAAAAATAATCTAAATAACTCGAATAAATGCTTTTATTGGCCGAAAACGAGCTAAAATCAAAAAAAGACTAATTTTATTAAGAAAAATAATAAGAATAGGAAAAAAACTAATAATTATAGAAAGAAATAATATTCTTAAAATCTAATGAATAGATGAATTAATAAAAGATTTTATAATTAAAAGAAGAATTAGAAAAAACTTAAAAGTAATATAACTCATATAAATAAGAAATAAAAGAAGATGTGTATCAAAAAGAAAAAGAAAATTCTAAAAAGGTAAAAACTTATGAAAATTAAATTGAAAATATAAAAAATGAAAATATAAGAAAAATTGCTAATTTAGAAAAATAGTTAGCACTAGTAGAATAGGAAGCATCATTTAATTAAAGAGAAAATAAAAGCTTAAATGAAAAAATAAATCTTTTAGAAATTGAAAATAAAAAATTAAGAGCTGATAATATAAGCTAAATATCTAATATAGATGTATATATGAAATATTAAATATATATATATATATATATATATTGCTTTTATTTTTATTTTAAATATATTTTATAAAATTAAAAAATAGAGATTAAAATAATAGTTAGATGAATTAATAGATAAAAGCAACAAAGAATTATTATTTGTAAAAGATGAATTCGAAAAAAGAGTAAATGAAATAACCTCCGAAACTGAATAAAAAAAATAAATAATATAATAATATTCAGAATGGATGGTTGAGAAAACATATTTAGAAAATTAGATCACATTTTTAAAAATTAACTTGAGGAAATAAAGATTACATGATGCACTATTGAT